CCCCCCCACCTCCTATGCTGTATCTCAGCTGTGGATACCACCAAAACCACCTGATTTAACCTTTATGAATCTAGATGAGACACCAACCCAACCTTCTTTTAAACAAAAACTAATTACCCCCTTTTCCTGCACTGTTGGGTCAAGAAACGCGGATACAGTGTTCTGTACCAAAGAGTTGCAGATGGAGAAAGATTCAGGTGACGAACTTAACGATGATAACACCATACCATTATCCCTGGAAGACAAGAACAGACTGTACCTCCCTTGGAAATTTTCAGTTATTATCAAATTATTCGGAAAACGAATGAGCCACCAATATCTTAAATCAAAATTGAAAGATCTGTGGAAGGTTTCAGAAGAGTTATTGTTAATCGATTCAAGATTTGACTACTTCATAGTCAAATTTCTCAAGGAAGAAAGTATGCAAAAAGCACTTCACAACGGGCCTTGGTTTATCAATGGTTTCTTTCTGTCAATTAAAAAGTGGCATCCAAATTTTGTTGCCTCTGAGGCAGAAGTCACCTCCTTGACTATTTGGGTCCGTTTACCAGAACTCCCTACTGAGTTCTATGACACAATTATCTTATCTAAGATTGGAAGCAAGTTGGGTCGTCTTCTTAAAATTGATACTTGTACATCTGCAACTTTAAGGGGCAGATATGCTCGTATTTGTGTTGAGGTCCCAATTGGAATACCAGTCAAAACACACATCACTATCGGAAGGCACAAACATAATCTTTTCTATGAAGGAGCAGATATTTTATGTAAAACATGTGGCAGATTAGGGCATATTCATCTTAATTGTGCCTATAAGACAACAACTTCACCAACGGAGATCGAGTAGGAACGAAGCACTAAACCTCAACATGGTAGGGGGAACCCAAACCCCACCACTTATTTACAACGAGGATGACACCTGACAAACTGTTGTTTTCCCCCGACGAAGAAATAGAAGTAGCTCTAAAGCGACGGCTCCCGGTCTCCCACTACCGGTGAGAAAAGAAACGGAACAAGGTATAAATGTTAAATTATATCATGCCACCACTGGTAAGTATCTTGATTCAAAAACTTTTAGTTACAAAGAAAAATCTAATTCTAACTCTTCTTCAAAATCTGTCTCATATGCTCACCTTAATTTGACTGCCGTTGACAATCATGAAAATGGTCTGACTAAGCCGCTAGCAAGCGACAGTGAAGCCGCTAATCAGGGGCAACTTAACTTAGAGTTAATAAAACCCAAGCTACAATCTAACCTAACTCCTTTAATGGCCCCTACTCCCAATCAGTCAATTGGTTTTGATAAAATAGAGAGCGCCCAGACCGCTAACATTCACATTTCTAAAAACAATTCTGGCAATGCTCACAATGATAGCCTTGCATCAACTATTATTGGAGACAAAATCATGGACGAAAATTCTTCTTCTGATGTTTCAAACTTGGTCCATACTGGGAAGCAACATATAGATGTTCACCAAAGTGAACGTCTAGGTAAATTAACCACTCCCACTGTAATTTCTTTACCTAATATGTTCGAAGCTCAACCTGAGACACAAATTCTCACCCCTGAAATAACTATAGACATTCCCGTACACACTTCACCCAGTTCTTCTATACTAATGAACCAAGAGGATTCCAATGAGAATGATATCAATTCCATAACCATAAAGAATTCTAATCTGACTTTTCAACTTGGTAAATCTACCAATAGTAGTGCTGATAAAAAACCCTTGATATCCTATCAAATTACACAACGACAATCCACAAGAAGAAGCCTCAAACCTAAGGCTTCAATTGTGGGGCAAACCCCTAGCCTTTCACACGAACACCCACTTCTCCACAATCTTGTGACCCACTCTCAATCTAACACAATAGAGAAACTAGATCAATCTACCAAACCTTCATCTATTGCAGATTCTCCAAGCAGTTCCACTGTCCCAACAAGTAATCTGGAACCATCTCACACTTTCTTCACTTTAAATCCACCAACTCTACATCAATTACTACCAACAGGAGCTCAACTAAGCGTACTAGTGCTGGCGTCCATGTCACAACCACCAACACTAGTAGTGACTCAAAAATGAGAGATAACATAGGAGTACAACTCACCGAACGCCTCACTTGCTGAGTTCAAAGCACTCAAATCTTCAGGGGGAACCAAGGAAAAAAGCATGTTTCCATCATGCAAATGAAACCATGTCGGGGCTTATTACTTGTGAGCCCTGTGAACCTAAACAATCCATTAGCCCCAATGAATAGCCACACTAACTTTGTCATATGGAACTGTAGAGGTTCCAATAATTCTGATTTTAGAAGAAATTTTGGATTTATGTTAGACTATCATAAGCCTTGCCTAGTTGCTCTCCTAGAGACCAAGATGGAGAATCACCAAACCCTTAGAGATGATTTCCTTTTCACGGATATGATTGAAGTGCCAGCTAATGGTCGCTCGGGTGGTATTGTGTTCCTTTGGTCTAGTAGACTTATCACTGTTGACAGAATCACCGTTACTAGCCAAGAAATTCATGCAATGGTTAAGGTATATTCCTCAACTCAACCCTGGCTCTTTTCTGTGATTTATGCTAGTAACTTATTTAATTGTCGCAAAATTCTGTGGGACAATCTTATAGCTCTTCGTGAAACTTATAATGGTCCTTGGCTTATTGGTGGTGATTTCAACGAGGTGCTCACTGCCAATGATAAATGGGGTGGTAGACATGTTAATAATAATAGAGCAGACATTTTTTGGTCATGTATAAACAACTGCAACTTATTTGATCTAGGTTTTAAGGGGAGCAAGTATACTTGGTCTAATAAACGAACTCGAAATGATTTGATTCTTGAAAGACTTGACAGATGATTCATTAATGATGATTGGCTTAATATTTTCCCAGACGCTCATGTTAGTCATCTACCTAAAACTTATTCTGATCACAACCCTTTATTTTTACATCTCCATGGTAATAACATTACTAGTATTAGCAAGCCCTTCAGATTTGAAACCATGTGGTGCTCACATCCTGATCTTGTTAATATTATTAATGACTCCTGGAATAGTAATCTTGACCTCCTACAAGCTACCTCTCTTTTTCAATATAACATTACCTGGTGGAACAAGAATGTTTTTGAAAATATTTTTACTAAAAATAAAGACTATTTTAGCTAGACTTACTGGTATACAAAATTCTGCCAAGTATGCCACTAGCTCATTCCTCCAAAATCTTGAAATCTCTCTTATAAAAGACTTCAATGATATCCTTAGGTTGGAAGAAGAGTTCTGGAAGCTGAAATCTCGTATAAACTGGATTACTGATGGAGATGCAAATGCTAAATTTTTTCACATCTCGACCATTAATCGAAGAAGAAGAAACTGTATTATCTCTTTTATAGATGATACTGGTAACTTGATTTATGACCAAGCTGATATAGATGCTCATATTTTCAATTACTTCAAAGCCTTGTATTCCACTATTCATCTTGACGCCGCTAATCACTACAATCATTATCCTTTTTTCATTCTCACAGATTCAGACAAAATACATTTAGGAAAAGACCTCTGTGACCATGAAATCTTAGAGGCTTTAAAATCTTTTAAGCCCTTCAAAGCACCTAGACCAGATGGTTTACACCCTTTTTTCTATAAGAAATACTGAAAAATTATGGGTCCCTCGGTCCTATCACTCTGCCATAATATTTTCACCACTAGTACCATCCCTCCGGACCTAAACCGTACTTATTTGTGTCTCATCCCAAAATTTGAAAATGGCAATAATATAAAGAACATTAGACCCATTGGCCTTTGCAATACTGTCTATAAACTTGTCACAAAAGTTATTGTAAACCGTATTAAACCCCTTTTAGACAAGCTTATTGGTCCCTATCAAGCTAGTTTCCTGAAGAATAGAAGAGCGGCCGACTGTGCGATCATTGTTCAAGAAGTTGTGAACCACTACCAAAAGATGAAAGGTTCAAAAGCTAACATGATTCTTAAAGTCGACTTTGAAAAAGCTTTTGATCGATTGGAATGGTCTTTCATACATCGCACAGTCACTTTTTTCTAATTCCCTCCGAATTTTATTAAACTTATTATGTCTTGTATTACTTCCTCCACTATGTCTATCCTTATCAATGGAAGTAAAATTGAATTTTTTTTCCCTGGTAGAGACATCAGACAAGGAGACCCCATGTCTCCCCACATCTTTATACTCTACTTAGAAATGCTCTCTAAAAATATTTGTCATGAGGTGGATCTAGGTTATTGGAACCCTATCAAAATTAGTAGAACTGGTCCCCAGTTATCCCATCTTTTCTTTGCAGATGATCTAACCCTGATGGTCCGCGCGGACAACAAGAATTGTGACTCCATTTTGAGAACTATGAATTCTTTTTGTGCGTTATCGGGTCAAAAAATAAACCTTGATAAATCAAAAGTCCTTTTCTATGCAAATTGTGATCCCACCATCAGGAAAATTCTCTCTCATGCCCTCCAAGTTAAGCAAAGTTCCACTTTCGGTAGATACTTAGGTTTCCCATTTTCCACCAAAAACCAAAGTCAAGAGACTTCCAATTCGTCATTGATAACATGAATAAGAAGCTTACAGGTTGGAAGACTAGATTCCTTAATATGGCAGGTCGCACTACCCTTGCTACCTCTACTCTTAATAGTATTCCAAATCATATTATGCAATACCACAAACTCCCCAAAAATATCAATAGACTCATTGATCGAACCCAGCGTAATTTCATATGGGGATCTACTGCTGAAAAATCCAAGCTTCATCTTGTTAATTGGCATACCTTGACTGATATTAAGAATAATGGTGGACTAGGTATAGTCAGTGCTGAAAACAAGAATTTAACTTTCACACGAACCTTGCATGGCGACTTTTTAAAAACCCTCATTCCCTTTGGGCCCGAGTTCTCATTAATAAATATTGTTGCTCTCATAGAAACTTCCAGTCCCAAACTTAAACCCATCAATGTAGAACTGATTCAATTATCTGGAGCAACATTCTTAAGGGATGGTACTTTTGTAACCAAGGTATCCGTTGGATCATTGGAAATGGTAAAAGCATTAATTTTGGCATACCCAATGGTTACCCAATACTCCCACTCTTAGAGCTACTATAAAGGGTCCTTTAACTGCTACTGAACATGCTCTAAATATTGCAGACCTTAATGAAAATGGATCTTGGAACCTCAAAAACATCTCTTTTGACCTACCATCCCACTTACTTAACACTATTAATAATGTTCAACTACCATTATTCCCTGAACATGAAGATAGGCCAATTTGGAAACTAACAAACACCGACTGTTTCAGCTCAAAAACTGCTCGGATGCTTATCAAATCTAGCCACCCAAACACTCTTAACTTCTCTTGGATTTGGAAGCTGAAGACACCAAATAAAATAAAATTCTTCATTTGGTTATGTTATCATAATCGTTTACCAACCCGAGTCTACTTAAACTCAATAGGCATTAATATTGATAGACAATGTTCCACCTGCAGATCTTGTGAAGAAACCCTTGATCATATTTTCATTGATTGTATGGTTGTTAAATCCTTTTGGCAAAGACTTGGTATTACTAGTATTCACATTCTTGGCAATCACCAACACTGATTGGACATTATTGCAAACCTCTCCCTCTTATATTACCAAATGCAATTTACACATGGAAATAATTATTTTCCTTTTGTCTTTGGCATATTTGGATCACTAGAAATAACAACCTCTACAATAACCTCACAAGATCTGCTTCGTTTGATCTGGTACATATGCAAGCTACAGAGTATGTTGCTCTAGCAAGAAATGACAGTAGTACCAAACCACCTCTAGCTCTCCATGTCAAATGACATCCTCCTAAACAAAATCACTTCAAACTCAATATTGATGGAGCATTTAAAGATGGAGCAGGAGGTTTTGGCGGAGTTTTCCGAAATAGTAAAGGGGATTTGGTGCTAGGCTACTAGATGCAGATTCCTCAATCTGATAATACATATAGCGAGCTCATATCACTTATACATGGTCTAAAATTAGCTTATGCTCATGACCTTCATCCCTGGAAGTCTATACAGACTGAACAGAGATTATTAACATGTTCACAACTAACTCCCCACAATATACATCTATCTTACATGATTGCAGGATACTAAGACAACGGCTAGGAGATCCGGAATTAAGACACTGTTTTCGGGAGCAAAACAAAGTGGATGACTTGCTAGCTAAGGAAGGACTGAAAATTGAAAAAATTGGTGGTCCTACTGTTTTAGTACTACCACCATCTACTATTTTGCCTAGTCTTATGTTGGATATTTCTGGAGCTACATATCGTAGATCTATCTCTAGTGATGTTTCTAATGTTTTGGCTAACCTTGGCAACTTTGATGCTCAGGTTGTACGAACAATATTTAAATTTATATATTAGCTTCTCTTTTGACAAAAAAAAAAAAAAAAGACAGGCGGATTTACAAGCTAGATTATGGGGCACGTGAATCCATGGTCTCTCCGCCAAACTGCTTATTCTATGTATGAATGTATTTTCTGGAATTGGTCCAACATTATTTGTTGGCACTCATGCTCCAAAAAGGCTAAATGGTGCACTTGGTTGAATACTGAGTTATTTATCCAAAAGTTTACTTATTCTTGTGTGTAAATTTATAGTTGGCTGTCTAGTAATTGTTTTTCTCTGTGTTTTTAAATTTATTTCAGTTCAAAAATTGACATCCTTTCTTTATTAATATGCTCTCTTACAGTATTGGACTTGAAGCCTATAGATTTGGAGATAGGTCGCGAGATTGAATAGCTCTCTATGCGCTCTCTATTGCCATTAGGGTTTAAGCAAGGTGTACTTTGACTCTTAACAAATTTTGATTCTAATAAATGGAATAACAAAATGTTGTGACATAGGTTAACAATAGATGCATCAATGTAGCTGCATTTTGTTTTGCTTTGGTCTTGTTTGGGCATTAGTGCTTGAGTGTCAATGCAAAGCAGCTTTTCATTCCCTTTTTTCGTCGTGGCACATCTCTGGTAGTAGGCTCAACGTCGGCCTCTAAATCTGCAAAACATGTAAGGAGTGAGTCTACAACTCAGTAAGCATCACAGAGTGCCCATTAATAGGTGAGACAAGTCTCGTGTAATCACAGTGACTCACACTCATTAACTATAACTATACTCAGAAAGCTAAACTGGATACAACAACAACAAACCCAGTAAAATCTCACAAATGGGGTGAAAGCTAAACTGGATATCTAAAGTTGAAAATTCCCACCAAGATTAATTGGATCGTGTTAATTCTATTCTGACAGTGTGAAAATTACACTCCTATTTAAGTCATCCCAAAAAAAATCTATGGGTAGAAGGAGAAAGACATTGAGATAACGCTTCAAATCTCACCTAATAGAAGGTAAAGGGACGAGTTTAGTAAAGATCTAAACAACAAGCTTTGATATTTGAGAAAAAACCATAGGGCTTCGTTATTTTTCTATGAGACCCGGGAGGGGGATCTTACTTCCAAAGAAATCAAGCTTAGGAATGATTTAGTCATAAGCAAGATGATGAATGAAATTAGCAGTGTTTAAATTCTCAGTTAATCTAAAAGCCCAGTTCTATGTGGAAAAGAGATAAAGCTCAAGGGTCCATTGTATTCCATTTGCTAACAGGGTTAAGAAGAGGAGTAGCCAGTTCTTAAAAATCTTCATTCTTTAGCCTATGTGGAAGCCAGAATTTTAAGATCAAAGTTTATTACTAAAGTTTCTTCTAATTCATCTTTTCTTTTCCGGGATCTTATACAAATAGCCAAGTCGATTCATTGTTCATGGATTATATACTGACACGGTTATACACATATTATACATGATTTATTTTTTTATATATTCGCATGCCATTTATAGTTTAAGCGACTAAGTGTAGCGGTTGGATGAACGGCTATATTTAAGTTAATTCTTTTTTTTAAAGGTAAATGCTTGAGGCCCAAGAGTAGGGGCGGATACACCTTGCGGTAAGCGGTATCACGTGACACCGCTTCGTCGAATTGTTTGTTAAATATGTGTATATAGATAGTATACAAAATAAAAATGTTATGAATAATATAAAAAATAACATATATTGACACCGCTTACCAAAAATCCGGCGAATAATAGTGACCAAGAAAAAATGACAGTCATAGAGTAACGGTTCCCAAGGGGAGAACTCATCCAAGGATTTGTTAGCAAAGATACCCATGTCATAGCCTCAATCTAATGTCAAAGAACAAAGGAAAGAGAACACTCGGGAATGTTTCTATTAGCAAAAATTCAAGAAAGAAAAATATTAAGTACTAACTTCTCCTATACCAATCCCCCCACTATTTAAAGAGAAGACTAAGTTGAAAAATCAAATTAAAGAGAAGAAAAACAAGCCCAAATCTCCAATTATATTAACACTCCACATTGGCCTTTTGAGCCAAAGGAATAGCAGCAATTGCATTGTTATCACCAGTACCCACAGCTCCAGGCAACTTCCTCTTAGGCTTGGCCTCTTGCAACATAGACACAACGTCCCTCATCGATGGCCTGTCCGCCGGATTCCGGCTCGTGCAGAGCAATGCCACCCTTAGCAACAACATCATTTCCTCCCTCACAGAAAGACACGAAGCGCCAGCATTTTTATCCAACACGTCGTATATCCCATTTTTAGTCTTAATCTTGGACCTAAACCAATCTACAATACTATTTCCATCACCAAATTCTGGTTCTACTGATCTTTTCCCTGATAAAATTTCCATTAACACCACACCATAACTGTAAATGTCACTCTTCTCATCAACTTGCAATGTATACGCGTATTCTGCATCATTAAACACATAAACATGTTTAATAGTAGTAATAACTATGATGTCAAGTCTATAATAATGGAAAGATAAGAATTAAATAGTTTGTTATCATAGCAATTTGTCTGCTAGCGCAAAAAATGTTTGACTTTTGAACATTTAAAGTCAGGGAATGTAGTACTAGTACTAATAAATCAAAGGGGTTAAATACAATTTTGTATGACTAGCTTCACAAAATCTTGGTGGGTCCAAAGAATAACAAAAAGCAATAGTTTAAACGTAAAGGCGAAGGGAGCAATTCACGCGCAGTACTAGTGCGCAATTCTTCTGAAGCACTACAAAGTCGTGGCTAAAACTGCAAAAAGAGAAAAGAAACAGACGGTGGTTCCGCCGCCCTTACTCCTCCGCTTAAAATTTAGCTTATATAATTTTCACTTGAATTTTATTTTAAAATATATTTATGTTAAATTTGAAACTTCACAAAGAATTACGAGTAAAGAAATACTTAATGACCCTTTACTTAAAATTTTAGACCACCTCTTTTGCTAAACTAAAGAGACACATATGAGTTTAGTTTTTAAGGTTTTTTTTTATCATTGATGTTTCTAAAATTATAGGTTTATATCTACTATTTGTAGCAATTTTAATGAATCTTTAAATATAAATTTATGTTCTGCGTCAAAAATTATAAGTTCAATTGAACCATATGTTAGAAGACTATAGACACGGCTATTATCCTAATAAAAAGTTCAATCTAGAGATATCAGATTGTTGCGCTCAAATTCAAAAAATGAATTTACTGCTACTATATCTGGTTATGGTTAAAGAAGATTCCACTAATTTGAAGCAGTTGAGGCATTTGACATAGAATATTAACGACAAAAAAAAAACAAGATATATCATGCTTTCACTCAAAATGCATGATGTTAGTGACAATGACACCACGTTTAGCACGCAAGTGACCCCTTTTTCGTCACCCTACAAAACGAACTAAACGGATATGACAAATATTTTTTGGATAAACATCTAAAACAACCATGTAATTTCTTCAAAAAAACAAACAAAAAATTCTGTCAATAACAATTTAATTAAAGAATAAGATAAAAAGTTTAATAAAACTTACCAGGTGCAATGTAGCCATAAGATCCAGCGATTACCGACATAGATTCATCACACTGAATCAATTTAGCAACACCAAAATCAGCAACTCTAGCCTCCATTTCACCATCCAAAAGAATATTACTAGGCTTAAGATCGCGATGAACAATGACTGGATCACAATCATGATGCAGATAACAAATCCCCTGAGCCACCCCGAGCGCGATCTTGTACCTAGTAAGCCAATCAGCTACCAAATTAGCGTCCTTGTTCTTCCCATGCAACAAGTCGTCGAGGCTACCATTGGGCATGTACTCGTACAACAACATCGTACACTCGTTGTTGCTGCAACAACCTAACAATCTTACGATGTTCCTATGTCTTACGTTGCCTAAAACATCGACCTCGGCTAAAACGCCACGCCTTTTCCTGATCGTCTCCTTGTGTTTTCCCCATAGCTTTTTCACCGCTATGATCTCGCCACCTGGCATCTCGGCTTTGTACACTGTCCCTGTTGAACCCATTCCGAGGATCTTGTCCGTCATTGTCAAACACTCCAACACATCATCCGCCGTAAAGTTCAACCTCTGAAATGCCGTTAACTTCCACGGCCCAACTTCCCTTTCTCCCGAAAATCGCCTGCTGTAATTGGCGTGAAAACATCGGCTCCCGGCTATAAGGACAAACAACCCAATACCAAAAGCCGCAGCCATTATCCAGACAACTGCGCCAGCTGTCTTTTTTGGCTGCGGCTTGACTTCCAGGGCTCCAGCAGCGAGCCCGCTGGTCCCGCAAGGTTTTTGAACGACAGTACCACAAAGGCCTTCGTTTCCAACGAAGGACGAGGAATGTAGGCTTGAGAATATTGAGCCCGAAGAAGGCACTGGACCAGTGAGTTGATTATAGGACACATTGAAATTTTCCAAAGTACTGGAATTGGCAAAATTCGAAGGGATTGTTCCAGTGAGAAAATTATGAGACAAATCAACTTCCGTTATAGAAGGAATTGCAGATATTTCCCAGGGAATGATTCCAGTAAGCGAATTTCGTCGAAAATTCAAGCAAATGAGCTTCTCACAATGCTCAATATCCCATGGAATACTTCCTGTTAGATTGTTTCCTTCAAGCTCAACTTTGTACAAACTTCGACATCCTTTGAAATTGGGAATATTTCCGATTAGGCCACTGTAACTTGCTGAAAATATCTGTAAGCTTGTCGAACTCCAGATACTATCAGACAACTCACTGTTGAATGAATTCTCTGATATGTTCAAATACTCCAATTTGACAGCATTCCCAAAATCTTTTGGAATTGGACCGGAAAAATTGTTTTTGCTCATGTCCAAGAACGTTAAATTGGGCAAAAAACCGAAACCCAAAGGTATTGAGCCGTTGAGTCTGTTGTTTTGAATTCTAAACCGCGTTAACGCAGTGCAATTTGCTAAGGAAGAAGGAAGCTCACCAATAAACTGGTTTGAAAACAGGATCAGTTTAACTAAGTTGTTACTGAGACAAAGATTTGGTGGAATGGGACCTGATAATTGATTTGAAGAGACGTCAAGTTTTTGTAGCTTTGCATTTGAACCCAACTTCTGTGGTAAAATTCCAGTGAATGAATTATTCCACAAAGCCAACATTTCAAGATTAGGAAGCTCACCAATTCCTTGTGGAATTTCACCTGTTAAGTTATTGTTCATCAAATTCAAGAGGGTAAGTTCCTTAAATCCTGAAA